CAAATGTATGTATCTCTCACGTCTTTGATATTTACATTAAGGACAATTTATATATTATTGCATTTGTGAATAGAAGTGTTTTAAATGATTTTAAAGAAGTTTCTGTGAAAACGAGTTAAAAATTTCGTATTTTCAGCTGCAATATTTGCGATGAAAATTTGCATGTATGAGCATGTTTTACTATTCTATAATATTCTTGAAGACATATTTCAATTCTACTATTGGGGGACAAAAAACTGACAAAATATGGGGAAAAAATGTCTTATGTACCTATGGGTAACAGCTCGGAAGAGGGTAGGGCAATGCCGAAAAGGTAGTCTACACCAAATAGATTAGAAAACTAATACGGGAAAGTCTGCGTCATTCCGTAACACCACTGGTTTTACATAAGTGCTCACCACCTAAGTATTTCACTTTGTTAATCGACTGTGAATATGTAATAAAGAGTGGAGTGTCAAAAATTTGGCGAACAGTTGTTTGGTTATTGAACACTAAGCAGAAATCAGGCAAACTGAATCTGCAAATCTGAATGTTAGTAACTCGATATGGATGACTACTTTAGGGGGCACATCTGGTGAAACGTATGACTAGTGCAAATGTGGGCGCAGACAAAAGGCCAGAGACATGATGAGATATAATAGTTGAAAGAAAAGTCTCTAACACGGAAGAAAAGGGGGCTCTCATGGGAGAGCTAATCAGATCGATTTCGTATTGTTTTGTGCCGCTTACAAACGCGCAAATTTTAAAACTCCATGGGTCAATTTCCCGATACCTATCAATTAAAAAATTATAAATCCTGCATTATCTACGGTCACACGGTATTACACTTATTGACCTACTGCTTAACCGACAGCTTCCCTTGGTATGCAAGTCGTGCAACGCCCTGGATATAGATTACTACAGCTCATATTACAATCGCGCGCATCAGAACAGATGCAACGTCGTCTATAGGCCCTTAAGAAACAGATTTTTATCCCGAAGGACACACATTTTGTGAGGACGCGAGTTTTGAAGGACCAGAGGGGTATAAGAATTATGTGTGGATACTGTGGAAATGATGGGGACAGGTGGAGCCCGAACAATGTTGTTTTTTTTAATTATTTATTTTAGGTCGCTTTAAAAACATCTGAAGTCATTAGCGATTTACACCAGAGATACAGAGTATAAATAAGAATCAACAGGGATATTTATTACAATAAATTTTACAATAACTTTATGTTATTGTATATTAATTATGTTTATTACGCAGTATGCTACAAAATGATATATTTTTGAAATTTCCATTATATTTTTGGATATTTAGTCCTTTTCGGTGCTACCGCTCCCAAATAGCACGAGAGATCAGAAGAGTGCATAAACCCAAAATATACGTAAAATTAAATTGAAGAACTCATAAATGATATTTCATGGCATAATTGAAGGTACTGTATGATTTGTTGTACTATTTAATCTCCACGCTTCGCAATATTAGAATTGTTACTCTCGCACAGCCTCGCAGGCCTATAATTCTGTAACGCCCAGTTCAGGGGTTGGCCATTTGAATGAGTTCTACTCGTATTATGAAATAATTCTCACTTTTAAAACATTTATTAACAAAGAGCGGATATTGTGAACATTCGTTTCATTTTCTAAAATAATAAAGAAAAATATTTTCCGGAAACTAAAGAACTAAAAATTCAGGAATGCAGCACATTTCAAAAGCTTTTCGGTTACTTGTTATAATAAGTAAACAGAGCTGAAAATCTTGGACCCATTGGTACAAGACAACACACACTCAGGGGCGTCCAGAGAGTATATAGCTAGGCGTCTAGAGAAGGGATCAATTTAATCCTTATTTATCTATTTGTATTCCAAAGGCCGTCGAGAATATAATGCAGAAAAATGTGCAGTATCAATAACATTTTTAATGATTAATTAAAATAATGGAATATCAAAACATTTCCGCACATAACTCACTGTTTTCTTGTGAAATTTGTTCACTTCTGTTCATTGGAGTCCGTGGAGCACGCTGCGTGCACGAAAGGGTTCTGCATGTCATTCACATCGTCTTTAGACTGACGGCCCTAATTCCCTCCCCAGTCTTTTCAGATGTTTACTAGTTATTGACATATACGCCTCTCAACGCTCAGCTGCCCTCGGCATGGGTATAGGAATTTTGGAAATCAAGAAAATACGTGCCGTTCATACTTCTCTCGCATACGACATACAGTTTTTGCTGTTTTAGATCGTCAATAAATTGAAATAATGCAAAAGTTCTTTGTAAAATTCTTTATTTTACGATTATTGTAATATTTAATTAATGCAATTCCAATGACTATTCAAAATTTTTTGTGGTAGCAGAATTCACACGCACACGCGCACGCACACGCGCACGCACACGCGCAAGCGCAGGCGCAAGCGCAGGCGCAAGCGCACGCGCACGCGCACGCGCACGCGCACGCGCACGCGCACGCGCACGCGCACGCGCACGCACACAGCGAAATAACTACATATTCATACTGTTTAAATATTGAACAAAAGCTTACTAAGCATGCAAACAATACGTACATTGCATATGCACGTAACAAAACAAAATCTATGAGGGACATTACTAAAAACACAACAGCTCCAACTAATAATAACAGAAAAAAATACTACACTACAAAAACCAAACTTAACAAAATCCACAAGTAATAGCTGAGATATTCAATGAACACTTTTCACAAATTGGTAAAAAGTTAATCTTTCAACATTCTCTAAACAATAAATCACACCAACCAAACACTAATGTTACATAAATAGTAAATTCCATATTTTTATATGAAGCCACCCCCTCTGAAATTTTTAAAATCATTGGACAAATGGAGAATAAATTGTTAGCAGGTCATGACAAAATTACAGATTTTCTTATCAAACACAGTGCTCCGTGTATAGTGCATCTACTTTCTCGTATCTGTAATTACTCTCTAAAACAAGAATATTCCCACATATATTCAAAATGGCAAAAATTAAACCATTGTTTAAAAGGGCAAAAGTTATGATCCAATGAACTAGGCACCTATCTCCTTGCTATCAGGCTTTTCAAACAGTTTCTCAATGCAAATAATGCCCTCACAAATGCACAACATGGCTTCAGAAGTAAAAGATCCAATGACACAACCATATTATCCTTTTTTAATGACATACGTGTTACTCGAAATCAGAAGGAAATTTGCATTGGCATTTGTCAAAATCCTTTGACATTATTGACCATCACTTACTTTAACATAACTAGAAATGCTAGGGATTTGAGGCATTGTAGGCCAATGGATCAAATCATATTTATCAAACCACAGCAAAGTAGTTGGCCTCCAGCATACAGAAAACAAAATCTCCTCGCACTACTCCTCCCCTCAGATGATAAATTGTGGATACTTGCAAGGATCCATCCTCTTCCTTATAATACTATTCCTAATATACATAAATGACATGCCTTTGACTTTAAGGAATAACAAAATAATTTTGTTTGCAGATGACACTAACATAACCATCAAAGCAAAAGCAAAACAATCATTAGAAAAAGAAATTGACCAAACCTTGAATGCACTAGAGAAATGGTTTCATGACAACAAACTCATCATAAACACCAGCAAACTGTCTCTCTAAATTTCATGAATCCCTGATCCAAAGAAAATCTCTCACAGCATTTGCTCATAAATAATAACCCTGTAACGATATCTCATGAAATTACCTTCCTCAGTCTGACAATCCAAGAAAATCTAAAATGGAATGCTCACATCTCAAATCTTAACAAGAAGCTCACCAAATCTTGCTATGCCCTATACACCCGCAAGTCAACCTCCAACATAGACACATTTCGAATAATGTATTTTGCAAATGTGCACTCACACTTAAAGTGTGAAACAATTTTACTCTAAATTCTGGTGTACACAACTACAACACTTGTTAAAAGGATAACCTATATGTTCCCCACTCTGAAACTACACTTTATCAAAAATGTACCCTAATTCTCAGCCCTCTAGGCCTATGCACTTTACAACAAACTCGGCACTGATATTAATTCATACATTTAAAAGTAAATTGAAAGCTTTCCTGCTTAACTTTATGATCTACAGTGTGAAGGAATATTCAAATCACAACAATACATCTGTTAAAAATATAAATAAATAAAAATTCTTATCCCATTTGACCTTCTATTGCATGTTCACTGCCTCGAACTGACAAAAAGAAAAAAGAACTGGCATTTTCTGTCTTGCTTATGTTACATTGCAGTTGGACCAATGTAGAAAATTCAATGCCTGACCAAAATTTCTATTTCCTTCACCCTGGATTTCCAAGATGCATTAGATGCTGCAGATTAGGACTAGGTGAAAAAATACAAAAAACCTGGACAAAACCTGCCTCCTACTCCTCACCATTTCAAGATTTAAACATAAAATGTACTGATATTATTAAATTATATTTAGTTGTTACCATAATTGATATCACATACTATTATTAATATTATTATTATTATTATTATTATTATTATTATTATTATTATTATTATTATTATTATTGTTGTTGTTGTTGTTGTTGTTGTTGTTGTTGTTGTTATTACTATTATTATTAATATCTCCATATTTGTGTTTCATTGAACTGAGGTAGCAATTTTCCTCCACTAAGACATTTGATGTCCATTAGTATCTTGAAACTATATTTAAAACCCTCATCTTGCTTTACAATCAACAAACAATTTTATTATCCCATTCACCTCATCACTTTTTCCTCTAGATTTCTTTTTTCATTAACAACAACCACAACAGCAACCACAATCACCACAACCACCACATCACATATACCCCAGTGCTGGGCAAGGTCTCCTATAGTAAAGGGGTGCCTCAAAATTTAATTCACTTTCAGGTGAGCTAACCCTGGAGAGCATTTCTTTTTTCATTAGACTTGATCAATTACTTCTCTTGAAGTTAATTTGTATTACTAGCTACCTATTAGTTAATCAGTACTTTACCATTTGTTTGCAGTAATGGACTGACAAGCCCTCCTGGAGCATCAGTTCGCTCTAGTGGTCCTCATGCAGTTGAACTAGACAGCAGTGTGTTTCTTGATCTGCCCTTAGATGGCAGTGGTAATGACAATGTGGCCCACAATGCTCCACAACCACAGTTGTTGCCTGTTGGCCGCCTCAAATGTGGCATGTGGGCATCATTTGCTCTGGCTACAGTCTTTGTGGCGGGAGCAAAATTCTACTTTGATCATCAGGTGAGAATCTGTATCAATTTAACAAAGTTCAATTTACACTCAGTTAAAAGTTAAAGAAGAGAATTACAACCACATATGCTGATAACTTTGTTGACTCTCAGTTGCAATTTGTTATTTGAATAAATTAAACTTTTTTTTTTTCATTAATATCAACCATTGTTGCCATGACAATATTGCTGGGTGTAATCTTTCATGAAAATACTCTAGCATTCAGTATTCAAAATTTTGAATTTATAAGTCTCAAAAAATGAAGATTAGACAGAAAGACAAGGAGTGAAAATTAACCACTTACGTTTCATATTTTGTAAACAGCACAGGTTAAAAAGTAGAAGTAGACAAGATTCAATTACTGATCTAGTACGTTAAAAAGTTCTAAACATTCTTACAATTTGTATTAAAAAATAGTTTTGTGAAGTGTCATTGCTTGGTGACATGACAGAATTCATATAGAATCATGAGCATGAACAGCATCAAATTACTGAAGAATGATACAATGAAGAAGTTACAGATTACTGAAGAGTTCCATCCAAGTGAAGTTTCAAATTTTCAACAGTTTGAAAAACAGTTGATCAGAAAAAAAAATGTTAAAATACAACAAGTGCAAGTTCAAAGTTCCACGAGACACATGGCACTATAACATGGTACTCCTCACATATCAAAATTGAAATGGATGATAGAATGAGAGAGAGGGAATAATAAATAATATAATAATTTCCCTTTAGTAAAATAAAATAAACCAGATTTTCTGTAATGAAAAGGATACTTTCCTCTACTCTTTATTGTCATATCTAGTGATGAGTTAAATAATCTATATTTTTTATTTGCAAAGATTTTTTTGAGAAATAAGTTTCTGTAACATTTTCGAAAAGATACAATAATGCAAAACCCCAAAACCTGTGAGGCTTGTGGTATGAGCCACATGTGTCTCTATGTTAAACCCGCCCTGAATATACAATAGTAAATAAAGGAAAAGTATGTTCTTCAAGTTATGAAGAAAAAAAATTAATTGTAAAGGAAACAATCATCTTTTTAACTTTCTTGCTACCACTTCCGCAGTTGAGAGAATGTTACAATCAGCGACTTTCGCCACAAAAATTCTTATTGCCGGGCCCTGATAACACAAAGTGAACAAATTCAGTTGCTAAATTAAGAAAAAGATCCTCTGCATGGTGCAGCATGGTGTAGCTAGAATCCATATTTTGTGAGTCCTTGATACCAAAACATTGATTGACAGCAAAACATTTTGAAAAACCATTCATTAATTTTTGGGGGCACTTTACATGAAGCCCCACAGACATTTTCAAAATTTCCTCAAAAATGGCTTCAAATTTTTTCTTTAAATTTCTTGTAAGAACAGAGTAAAATACACTAACAAAGATTGCATATGAACAATTTTCAGAATAACTTTGAATTTTCGATAATTGCAAAATTTTGAATTTTCTTCAGTATCTTCCTACAACTACAAAATTGAAGATAGAGATTTTTCTTTCAAATAAAACTTGTTCTCCATAATTATTTCTTTTATTAAGTCCAGGTACATTGTTTTGAAAATTTGAGTATAACAAAAACGAGATATTCTCAAAAATGGCACTGAATTTTATCTTTTATCTCTGCATAGAAATAGTGCTAAATGTACTCTCTAAGAAGAAATAAACAACCAAAACAACTCTATTTTGTTTTTTCAAAAATTACAAATAGTAATTTTTTTGACTAGCCTCTTACATAATTAATATTTACATTAGCAATGATTTCTTCACATTATTGCATTTACAATCACATGTGCTTTAAATGTCTTATAAGGTTTCTCGAAAACGCAAAACATTTCTGTGGAAATGAGCTCAAAATTCATTTTCAGATACACTCAAATGCCATTTTCTCCAAAACGGCACTAAATGTTTTTTAAAAACTTTTTGAATGGATAATACTAGTTGCACTGATGAAGATGACATAAAATTAATTTTTCTGTATTCTTTTGTTTTTCCAAAATTAAACAAATGTAATTTTTTTAAAATATCTCTCACACCTTTAATATGCACATTCCATCAATTAGTATACATTATTGCATTTTAGTGTGCAAGTGCTTCAAATGAGTTCCCATAAAGTTTTTCAAAAATTCAAAAGATTTCTGTGAAAAAGAGCTTCAAATTTCACATAAACAATAACGCTTCAATGCCATTTTCTCAAAAGTAGCTCCAAATTTTTCAACAAAAATTTCCTGATGTGATGAGGTTTTACTCTTCTATAATATTCTTAAAATAATATTTTGATTCTATTAAAAAACCTTAAAATTGAGAAAATTTCAAAAAAAATGTTCTTTGGGCGGTTATAGCTGGCAGTTGGCTAGAATACCTGGCAAGTCTGAAAAGCTTGCCCAGACCACAGAATTTAGAAAACTAAGTAGTACATGAAAGTCAGTGCCATTCTGTAGCACCACTAGTTTGCCATTACATTCTGAGTTCATATTTTTTTTACGACCATGAAACAACATTAACTACATTGTCTTTTGTTTTCATGACCATTCACTTATAAAATTAAAGTTTTGTGTCAATTAGGCGTACAACAATTTACAAAAGCCATGATTTCTTTCACCAGAACCAAAACTTTCATTCATTAGATTATTCTCAGTGGAAGTAAAACTTGAAATCATTATAGTATCACTTGAAACTATTATGAACTTGAAATCACAAAATTTTTCCCATTTTGAACGTTGAGTATGACAATATTTTTCATGGAAATTTCATGGGAGAAGAGCAATGTGGATTCCAAATGGGTAGAAGCACAAAAGACACCATCTGTACTTTACAGATGTTAATAGACAAAAGAAGGGAAAGGAATCTACCAACTTTTATTGATTATTAAAAGGCTTACTACAAAGTTAATAGACAGACACTGAGAAATACAAAATGTGGAGAAAGATCCAAATCAGTTTCTTAATGCAAGCCTCTACAAGTACTCAAAAATTAAAACAATATTAAGAGAGGGAAAAAAATCACAACCAGCAGTGGCTTAAGGCAAGGATGTGGATTATCACCTATCCTCTTCAACATATTAACCACTTAGTAATAAACTGGAGAAAGATAGTTAGATGAATACAGATCACAAAAGTAAAGAAGATAGACACAATCTTGTATGCTAATGACCAGCATACAAGATTGTATCTCTCTTCTTGACTTTTGACCAAACTATCATAATAGATTCTGAAGATAATTTAGAAAAAGTGGTGTTCGAGTTGAAAAAAGTAGCTCAAGAATATTCCATGAAGATAGCAATTCATAAAACAAAAGTTATGGCAATACAAGGAAAGGAAAAAGGAGAGCCAAAATAATAAATTAATGGAAAATTAGTGGAACATGTAAATACATTTTCATACCTTGGAAATATCATAAGTGTATACAACCAAACTCAGGAAGACATAGACAACAAACTTTATAACTACAATAGAATATGTGGAACAATCAAGAGGCATTTTGGCAGAGATATGATCACAGAAACAAAACAAACTCCACAATATAGCTGCTAAACCTAGAATCATGTTCAGCTCTGAAACATGGGTAATGATAGAGAGGGACACAAAAACTACAGGTGGCACACATGAGAATTTCTCTAAGTCACGTTATGAGAATCACAAGAAGAGACAGACTAGAGAATAAAGACATTAGGAAGAAAATTGAAAACCAAATGTTTAGTAGAAGAGATGTAGCAGCCTCAGGAGAAAGAGAGAGGAAAGATTATTTATAGAGAATGAACAACAACAGATTTCCAAAATTAATCTGGAAGTACAAACCACAGGTATCAGAGATAGAGGAGACCACTAAAGAGGTGGCAGCAGCAGGAACACTTGCAAGACTCTACAACAAGAATACTGTAATAAACTAATAGAAACCCGGCTAAGCCTACAGGGAGGTATATATCTTCTGGGTCAGTTCATGATAAAGATGAAAGATACATGAGAGAATGTTCAGCGTTATGCATTCAATCAATTTATTTAGATATTCTCGATCCATTAATAAGTATGTGAGACTAAGGATTATTCCTTATATTTTTAGTTGGAAGGAAAAATTAAATCAAATGTCAATCATGAAATTAAAATAATTCTGATAATCAGTAAATTTTTGTCAACCTGAAAATGGCTGTATACTACACGCCATCCAGTTATTATCACTTGTAAAATTACTTATGAAGCAAACTCATTGAAACATAGGTGGAATTTTGGGTTAACTACTCATATCAGATAGTTGAAGAATAAAGTTGAGAAAAACTACCAACAATAGGCTCTCTCACAAAGTTGATTAATACACTCATTCTACATTTAGAATCATGTTTGTTTGTTTAATTGTATCTTTTCAAAGAGCTTTAATGTAACACAAACATTTTGAATACTGGAACTTATTAACATGTTTACAACAGTGTAGATTACAGCTCTTTGATAAGACCCTCTATTTCAGTAACTTAAGTTTCTCATTCAGGGTACTGGATTGGAGGTGCTGGTTTTCTGTGCCCTCCTGATTGTCTTTCTACTGGCTGCCTGCACTGTCTCGCTTTGCCGTTCCAAGGCAACCCGTGACCTCCTGGCTGCTGCAGTAACATCCCAAGCACCACATTCTACAGTATCATCACAACAGGGGCAAGGCCACAGTACTGACCAGTTAGAAGTTGTCTCCACTGAAGACATAGGGCTCAACCAAATCATTAATCAACCAAATCCTCTAATTTTTAGTCCTGTGGCTGGTCCACCACAATCTCCAGTTACAGCTCCAGAACCACCACCTCCTCCATATCATATTGCAATCCTTCTGCCACAACAGACACATTCTAACAATCAGACAATGCAAGCTAATGAAGAGTCACCTCCACCATCATATGACAAAGTTGTCTCATAATATGTCAATGTCAAAATTATGAACTTTATAAAGTCTATATTAATTTTCTATAAAGTTGTGAAATTTTGGTGAAGTGTTTTTCAAACTATAAGGTGCTGGAAACAGAAAAATGTTGACTTAGCAGAAATGCAGAACTTACTTATAAATTACATGGTGGTTATCAGTTTCCTCCTTTTTGTCTTTTTACTGGCTGCCTGCATTCTCTCGCGTTGTCATTCCAAGGTAAACCGAGGTCATATTCTTCTAGCTACTTCAATAACATCCCAAGCATCACATTCTGCAGCTACATCACAACGAGGGCAATGTCACAGTAATGATCAATTAGTAGTGGTCTCCACTGAAGATATAGGGCTCAACCAATTCATCAATCAACCAAATCCTCTCTTTTTTTACTCTATGGCTGTTCCACCACAATCTCCAGTTACAGCTCTAGATCCTCCTCCATACCATACTGCAATCCTTATGCCACAACAGACACACCCAAACCATCTGTCAATGCAAGGAAATGAAGAGTCACCTCCACCATCATATGATAAAGTTGTCTCATAATATGTCAATGTAAAATTAGTTGTTTCAATGACTATGAACTTTATAATGTTGATATTAATTTTCTATAAAGCTGTGAAATTTTGGTGAAGTGTTTGTTGAACAATACGGTGCTGGAAAGATATTGACTTAGCAGAAACTCATGTGCCATAAATAATATATATTGAAGATATTGATCTTACATGAAAGTGAAACTAGAGACTGTAAATGAAAAGGTCATTAGCCATGCTAAAGTGGACATGAAGGACACTGTTCTTCAATATGCATAAAACTAATGCTAGCTTCATTGTTCCATAGACTGATATATTTAAATATATTAAAAAAATCAAAAGTGACATTAAATGTTTTACCATTGTTTTAATTGGTAAATTACATCTTTGGTCAAAACAACATGGACACAGAGATCAGAAGCTTTTGCATTGGATTCCCAAATCATGCACAAATTTTCATTGCCTTTCAGATCTGTCGATAATTGATGAAGAAAATATAATCAAACAATTTTAAATTTGAAACTTGAATAACATGCTTTTTCATGTACTTTTTATAAAATATTTATGTATTATATGTAATTTTTTGTATGGAAATTTAATTTAGGACACAAATTACATTACTTCAATCTGCTTTTTAATATTATGCTAGTTTAAGAAAAATTATTACATAGAACATAATACAATTTTTCAGTATTAAAATGCATTAATTAATTCTTACATAAAAAATTCACAAGACCAGTAGTACAAAACTGAATATTGTGGAATTATTAATTGTTGCAATGAGTAGAGTAAATAATAACTTCAGAAATTTTAAAAATGTTTATCCACTTTTTAATGTTTTGGTGTCCTCTGAGACATTGAGCTGTTTTGTCCAGTTTTGTAAAATTGTGTAAATATAGTACAGAAATGTATTGAAACAACAATGAATCATCTTGCAGAATTTCACTAATCATACACAATTAGGTAAATATTCACTCACAAATTCAAACTCAAAATATTTTATTGGTTGAAAAAGTATCTGCTTTTTTGACATGTCTCTTTACGTTTTATGTTGCATGAAATGTCCAAAAATGTGTCTTAAGTCTCTCTGTTCCCCTACCCACCCACTTCCATGTTTAACAGTTTTATTTCTGGTTTCTTTACAAATATAAAACAGTTTTTCATTATCAGCAAATTGATATTTTATTATTTATTAAATAATACAAAATAATTTGCCAATACAGCAAGAACTACATTACAAATAGTTGAGAACTTAAACTGAAATTAATTATAAATATATTAACTGACATATGTATGTAACAACAGTTTTTTTAGTTCTGCACAAAGTTTAAGATCAGAATTTGGGAAAGATTCCCACATAATTAACAAATATTCAGAGGCTTAGACAAAGATCAGTCCAAACAAAAATAAAGGCAGTAATTAAATATAATCATTCATTAAATAAACTCATAAGTTTCTAACTTAAAATAATTGACAGTAGATAATAACTACTGTATGACTGCTACCTTAGAACTACAGCTAAATAAATTTTGATGTATGAAAATATGATTTATGAAATGTTCATGAGCATTAATGATAAAAAGATATCCTTGAAATTTGTATTTTTTAATGCTTTTTCTGAAAGATTTGTCATTTTTGTCTTAAAATTTTAGTCACTCAAAACATGAAGTGGGAAGCAAGACATGATAATATTACATTTTAGGGGAAAAAAAAAAAAAATAGATGACTGAATGGTTTCTTATCCTGTTTTTATTTGATATTTCAAAATTTCACACACGATACTAATTTACTGTGATAAAAAGAATGTGTTGGATACATTCTTTCTATCATCCTCATAATACTTTCAAAATGTATTACACAGTTCATAATTATATGTAATAACAAATGAGTCAAGAACTTAATGTCCCAAACTGGGAAACAACTCCATGGCTGAGAAAGCAAATCATCCATTAACATATTTATTATTATACATTAATATATTATTGAAATAAGTTTGAGTGACATTTTTTTGGTTAGACAATACTCTTTATTAAATTTCTCATTTACAATATGAAGAAAACATTAAAAGGAGGTTGGTTGAAATATGAATTTTTTATATTACCTCACGTTTTGCTCTTTCTTTATTTTTGTATTACAAATAGTGTTTAGTTGAAGTTGGATTTCTCTTGAAAATGTTAATGTTATAGTTTGTTTTTTATATTACTTTCTTTCACTATACACATGCTTTCCTCAAAGACAATGCAGGAGACAATGCTGATATTAAATAGACTAATCTGTGTTCATTTTGTCTACATGACTGAAAGATCAATGTTACTTTGTAAGAAGGTATTAACTTTGATATCTGCCATATACCATGATCAATTTGGATGCTTCCAATTGAAAGGAAAAGTTATAATTTTTGATGTTTAAATGAAATAAAACATAAAAAGTGCTGTCTGTTCAGTTTGCATGTAACAATAAAGGAAAATGAAAAAAATATTTTGTTAGTACCTACAACTTATGTTACCTTTATAAAGAAATATTATCTTTGAATGAAAGTGATGGATGGATAACTGTTTCATTCAAGCCTTGCATAAATGTTTACAGATAGATGCTTATATAATTATGTTATATGGCAAATGTCTATATTCAGAATATCTGCCAAATAATCTTTATCATATTATTGCAGTGGAATGTGCACATTTATATACTACTCATGTACACAATATAAGAAAGAATTAAAAATTCAACATCTGACCATAAACCTAAAACAAAAAAAAATTAAAATATTGCATAAATAATACTAAGTAGAATGCTTGTGTTTTAATTACCTTTCTTCCTAAACTTATAGGTATATCAAACAGACTTATTTTCTTGATTGTTTTGATCTCACAGAGGCAGATCCAGGTAGACAAACACCCTTTTCCACTGGGGCACTCATCAAAGTTTAACTTCTAGGCCTGCGTAGAAATATAAATTCTCTGGAGATATTGTTTGTCAACAGAAATTAATTTTGTCTTCAAACCAATATCTGATAATATAATTCTTAACATTCACTTCATACGAGTTTGTAACACTATTGATTCAAATACGATAGAGTTATAATACATATTAAACGTTCAAGAAATTATAATCACATTGTATTTCATATTTAAACCAATATTAAAATATTAACTTTAATCAGTATTTGTTCTGGAATTGTACACAAAATTTCTAGATCTGTCTCTGTAAAATATTCTAGAATTACATTTATATGGTTTCAGTTTGAAAATGATGCTAGAATAGTTTGGTTTTCTTTTATACTTCAGTCACATATTACTTCGGGGATGGTTAATCAAGTGTTGACATTCTGTAGATACCTTCTTAATTAATCTATATTCCGGTTTCAATGGTTCCTCATCAAATTTTATTTTTTTGTTTCTTGTTAAATTATTAATTTGCAAGTTAATAAAAAAATAGATCAAACTTAAAACTAAAATAAATTATCTGAATTATAAAATAATGCTTTAATATTTTTAAGAATTTTGATAAGTAACTGTTATAAAAAAAATGCTTTAAAATGTACATTCATGAAATCGAGCATGTGTAGCAGTTTTCTAAAGAAACTAAAAAATACAGAATATATTAATGAAAAGTATTTGATAATATGTTAGTATCTTAAAATATTTATATAGAATATGTTTATTTATAATTTGTATACATAAGGACAGAACATAAAGAAAAAAACATTATTATATTTACTAATATTGCTTCCATATCATTCAAACCATCCCAACATTAATGCAATAAAATTTAAGCTGATTAGAACACAAAATAAATTAAATTTCAATCATTCTTGAACATTAAACAAAGATATTTTTGTTTCAAAATGTTATTTGTGGTTTCAAAGGTAGAGCAAAAAAAACAACTTTCCTTTAAAACCTTTTTGATCTACGACTAAAAACAAAAATGAACTACGACTGAAAATGGGATATTAGAAAAACCAATAAAACCACAATTTTTAAAAATTGTCAGAGCAAGCTAAGTTTTCCAAAGTTTTTTAAAAGTAAAAAATGCCTACAGACATATTTTTTTAGCAAGTGGGAGACAATTTGTTTCCGTAATAATGTACTATTTTTGACAACAAAATTCAGATTTCATTTTAAATGAAACAAAATTGCAACAAAATCAAATTTTGTTAATAAGGCATACATGTCTATAAAAACATGTTCTATTGTTATAATGAATCATGTCTCAAAATATGTATCTAGTGTTCTATAAACTTTTGATTGGTCATATTAAATAAATTTATTTTTGATTGCTTCCTACACATCGTGTTGAACATTTAATTCCTATTAACAAACATTTCTTTTCTTTGAGAAATATTCCTTTTGGTGAGAATTATTCTTAAAATGTGAAGCCAGAGTTGTCTTATTGAGATAAATGTAATATCATAACTTTGTGAAACAGATCAATAGCAAAAAACCAATTTTCACCATTAACACACACCAATGTTGACAATTCATTCTAATATGTTTCATAAAGAGTGAAGCTCTCAACACTTCATAACACAATGTATATTCAAATAAAATAGCGGCTGAAGTCTAGTATATGGTACAACTTACGGAAGACTAACCCGGTACCGCGCCGCTCCGGTGGCAACTGACCAGTTTGAATTCTGGAGGCGTTCTTGAAAAGTGCTTTCTTATAAAAGTGAATTGGTAATTATGCTGTGGATAAACTCAAGAATGTTAATAGAGAACGCGAGGGCCGAAAGCCCGAGCCCCCTATCGTGACTTGGTTCTGGGCAAGCGAAGCGAGAAAATTTGCCCTTGAACGTAAATTGATATTACAATGCGGCAGGGACAAAGCATTTGAAGGGTAAGGCATGAAAATCGCCTATCCGTAATTTCTATCAGAGCGCGTATCATATTTTCAGGGAGGGCTTAAGGAGACCCGCCCCCCCAACCGCCGCCCCGCTTCATAGAGGGTGTACCGTGTACCTTACTTTAACCGAAATAGATTTTTTATTCCAATGAAAACAGGTGATTCTTTAAACTGTTTGAAACTTTGTGGTTGTAAGTCTTGTTTTAGATTTTTTTATTTTCCCCCTGCACAATCCTTCATCCCTTAGGGTGTTGAAACCCCATACATGTACCTTTTAACAATTTGAATGCACATAATTTATTCAAATTAAATTCTGTGCAGAATTAATTTTAAAAAAATGCATTTTAGTGATTTCAAAAGGCAAAAAAAATCATTATCTATGATATTGGTAAAATGTGTAATAAAAGAATCTGAAAAACTATCTGTGTAAAAATGTGTAATAAAAGAATCTAAAATTGAAATCACAGATGCAACAGTCGCCAAATATTTGAAAATAAAATTTGTTTTTACATGGATATTGTATCCTGTGCAAATAATTATTATTAGTATTATTATTATTACGAAACTAAGGGAAAATGTTAGTAACACTACATGACTTCATTCAAATTACAATATAAGCAGATCAGTTTCTAACACAGCTTTCATATACCGTTTATTAGAGGTTTAATAGGTTACACTTTACTTTTTATTATTGTTGTTAATGGACTTTATAAACGCAATACTTTATTTACTATAATCCATAAGCAGCAACATTTATGAGTTTGAACCCACACGATTATTTAATCTTAAGATGAAAACTCAGGAAAATAAAACTCATCTCCTCAAAATCTAACTGCAATTTCTGAAACATAATTTCATGTTCAAAGTTATGTTTAATCCTGCTGGTGTGTTGTTTGGTTTCTCATTACACAAGAAATTTGGGTCAAAAAGCACCCATTAGGCTTTAATGACATTTAGAAATATGGAAATGTAGTTTAAATAGAAACAAATATCTACTTATGTACATGTTACTTATTTATCACCAAAAAACCCAAACTGTGTGGCAAACTATGAGTAGAAGTAATTAATATGTATACCAAGTTGAATTAAGAATACATACAGCAATGAACATCTTTGGCATATATTGAAAATAAAATATTCACTTTAGAGTTATAAAAACTATAGGAAAACAACAGGCCATCTCAACATTTCATTAAAAGATCAGAGAAACTGGACAAAAACCCGACAAGAGCAGGGAGAATCTTTCATTCCACAACAGAAAAAAAAAGAAGAAAAACAAACTGCATCTGTCTGACAGAGATCACTACAGGATACTTGATTTCCCATGCAGAATTTGCACAATGTGTGTAAACAATCTTCCAGCAAATAATTTAATAATTATAATTATTACTATTAAATTTTCCGAAGATGTTCCAAATGCATTCTATCATTTCATTATTGGATTTGAAAACTACATCAAAAATGATCACAAGAAAATTAATACAAAACAAATTTTGTGTATATAGATCTTTCAATTGAAGGGATTTTTTTGAAAACCACCCCAAGTCCAAAAAGTGAGATTTTGAGATAATAGAACTGTTACTAGGACTTCATAGTCGATGTTTGCTGACTGTGTTGTTGTGAACAAAATCAGCCCATCATAGGTATTTGCTTTGAAAGTTTGTGATTTTGATAAAAGAACTATAGTACTTTAAATGCAAGTTTTTTTTAGTAATTTACATTATTAACAATACCAAATACATTAGTCTGTACAAATATAAGCTTGTCAGAATAAACAATGATGCATATTTAATTGTTATTTTTGTGAAAATGTGTTCTTTTCTCTTGGAATCTTCATGTGCGCTTCCGAGTATATGACTCTTTAAGTGATTCATGATGTAGCAACCAGCATTATGTGCACATTCCACTTACCCTGATACCCCCGTTCCATCCCCTTGATGTCCTATTGGAACCTTTCCCCTTGTTCTTCACTAAAGTTCAAGTTTTTTGGAAAATAGCTTACATGCGAGTGTAGGAAGTGAACCTTCAAACTCACTTAGTATCCTAGTATTTGAAAAGTCTTCAACATATATTCCATGATACATCTGAAGTAAGGATCTTTTATGTTACCAAAGAACTTGTTAACCTCTTTAAAATAATTCCAAGCTTCCCTCTCCTTCTCATCCATGGTCTGAGCAAAATATGAACCTGAGAAAAGTTTTCTGATATCTAGGCTTACAAAGATCCCTTCTTTTATCTTAGCATCACTTACACCAGGAATCTAAGTGCATAAGTACTTGAAACATTTACCTTCTTTATTGAGTGACTTAATGAATTGCTTTATCAGCCCTAGCTTTGTGAAGAGGAGTCAGCAGGATTTTGTTTGAAGGGACCAAACTTTTCCTAATTACAGAGCAACAGAGCTTCTTGTGAACAACCTTTTTTGTCCCAGTGGGAATTTCTGTCACAGCTATCCCACAAGCATAAAAAACAAGGAAACTTTGTATACGCTGATAGCTGACTTAAGAGTGTGGTGGGGACTTTCAAGTCTCCACAAATCATCCACTTATACTTGTTATAAAGAATCCATTTGAGAACTAAAACTAAATTCTCATAGGTTTCCTTTTAAATTTATCGAATGTCCAACTGTAACTGAAGCATAAGTATTGCCACTGTGTAAACAAAACACCTTTTAGACTTTGTTTTTACGAGTCTATGAATAGATGCCAATGATTCAGGAGTCATATTATACACTAAATTGACCCATCAGTCCACAAATGTCTTTACAATAAACAAGATTATCTTGTGAAAAGTATGGAAGAGAAACTGCTTTGTAATGTCAATACAATGAAAAAGGAAGTGCCTAGTAGTAATGAAATTTTTGTTTTTAAGCTAGGAGCCAAGTAACCGAGCAGCACCTTTTGAAAGTCCAAGATCTCTCACTAAGTCATTCAACTCCTTTTGAGAAAAAAAGCTCAGGTTCATTTTCTGAACTGTTTGGTTCTAACTCTCGGTATGTTTCATAGTTTTCCACCACATACGATTCTTTATCTGTTTCTCACTCAATACTGTAAAAGTCAAAAGGAGGCAGAGGAACTGGCAATCCAGGACCACGTGGAACTGGATGAATAGCAGATTCAAGATTAGAATAGTTAATCAACTTGTGACTTTTGGAATTGTGACCTTGAACATCCCAAGTACAAGAGTAAGTTATCCACATGGATTTTTTGCTTCCTCCAAATCATTGGGATAGCAAATCTAAAAGACTAATTCTAATTCTTTGTGCCATAAGTGAAGTTTTTCGACGCAGCTGTGACAAACTTTGTGAGGAGCCCACCTTCATATTGATCTTCTATTCTCAAACCAAAATAAGCATAATACACTTTTTTGATGAAATCTGTTATATTTCTTGAGTACTTCTTGATTGTGTTCTCACCATAGATAAAATTATTTTTATAATATTATTCTTACAATTTTCTTTTTCATTGTGCAGGAAGTTCTGAAAATCAGTGAAATTGTTCTTTTGATAAGTTTTAAAAGAACTTGTCTGGTACTTTCACATCCAAGTCGCCTTGTGGTCTCATCCTCCAGTCATACGTTGGTCCACAGACATTCGAGGAAAAATGAATAGCAACCAAATTCATCTGAATTATTTATTGCGTTTTATGATTTCTTCCTTTGATAAATGAGACACACTCTTGGGTTCCTTTCAACTTGTTATTCTCAATTGTTGGAAAGGTCAAAACATAGATAAGAATACTGATTAACATCTAAATAAAACAAAAATTTAGGACCATGATTGTGTAAAGATCAAGTTAAACCTTACGATTCAACACAGAAATTATAACATAATTTCTGTGTTGAATTGTAAGTTTCTGTGTCAATAAAGGAGCTTTGGTTTCTTCCCATGCCCAACAGGGAAGAACAAAAAGGATTTGAACAACTTATTTGTGCATTCTTTTTGTTTCTCAAAAAATGCAATATATATTGACTGGCTAGTAGTAATTAAATTAGCTAGTAATTTGTAGTAACAGTTAAAATTAATGTCAAGAAAATTCATAAGCCTAATACAAAAAAGAAAAAAAGTACTTTGAACACAAATCAGGCATCGGGTCAAAAAAGACCCAAATGATGCAGCACGGTTAAGGCACAAAATTACATTACTGAAAATGTTGATTACGCAATACATTGACAAGGAATAGGAAGTAGGAGCTCAGGCTTTAAAAGTTTAGTAAGACAAAATTCAAGTAGATATCAGAAGTATTTTTGTGTGGCATATTTCATATGGAAACATGGTAACTACATTTTTATATAGATGTACAGACAAAAGCAACATTAGTTAAATATATAGCTACATCAAACATCATTCAATACATTTTTCATGAACAAGGCAAACAACACACACCTTCAATAAACAAATAAATCACAGAAAGAGTGCCACTACATCACACACATGACAACTTACATTTGCAATAAATATAAAAACATTTTTCATAAATTATGTAAAATAGATGTTCAACATCACATTCTATTGTAATAAAATACTGTGTAATCCCTGTTCTCGAAGTAAAATTATAAGATAAACACTCAAAAGATATTTCTGTTCGATATAGTACAGTTACTAAAACACTTGTAAACAAAATGAAATGCTAGCAGGAATGTTCAGGATCACTCTCACAATAATTTTCAATCATTTGAAGAGTGAAAAGTAAGAAAACAAATTATTCAAGCTCCTAAGAGTAACAAAACCACTTCACACTCTCTGAATTTCAAATAATTTGACATCAGTGTCATACCAAATTGGAGGGTCCACGTTCCTGGAATAAGAGCAAAACTTTACAACAGGGAATAGTAAGTAAACTTTTAAAATTAAAAAATACTTAGCTTCTTTAAAAACATTAATTAACATTAAAAATATAATATAGCTTCCTTAAAAACATTAAACAACAAATAATTTGCAAAGGAGAAACCATCAAAGTTATCAAAACTTCAAGTTTCAGTGTAAAATACACTGAAACCATGGAATTCTTCCAAATTGGAATTATTAATTCAAAAAGATTGGAATTAGAGGTTGGAATTATGCATTCAAAAAGAATATTGTGTGAAATAAAACATGCAAAAATTCAATATGCTCATTTTGTTTGTGAACATTGCTGCAATTTGCACCACATTTTAACATTGTATGCCTCTGATGGAATCAAATCAACAATTTTAAAAGCTCCAAATCTGCACTTCCTAATGAGATAGATTTGAAAGCATTTCTAAAAGGTACTTCCCTGTAAAAGGTGGTTGAAAATACACTATTTTGGGGCCTTTTGTCAAAATAAAATTTAAACTTAGAGATAAGGAAAAGTAAGGGTGTAACCGTAAGACCCAGTGAGTTGACATTTTGCATTTAGAAACTCTACTGTATAGATATATTGTGTGCTAAGTTTATTTTTTCTTATTTGACTATTGTGGAAGCAATTCAAGATTAAAACCTCCAATAGTTTTGTGACTTTGCTGCAATTTAGTCTGTTTATTAATAAAATCAAAGTTAATATTAGTTCCATTGAAGAACAGAAATAATTGTACAAGTATGCTCAGTATCATTTATTTTGCCATAATAAAGAAAAAAATATAACATCTCAAATCTCAGAAAATCTTACAATCATTCTACACAACACTGCATGGGCCAAACAAACTGCTATATCTCAAAAACGTTCATTTAAGCAGCTATAACCTCATAAAAGTTCGTTTGAGGCTTAAGGAACTTGGCTAGTAAAATTTCATGAAAATCCAAGATAGTCATGGGAAGATTTCTCCAAAATTAGTCAACAGGAAGTTGTGTATGTCACAGGTTCAAAATTTTCGATTTCCTTTTTTTTGTGTTATTTTGAACCTTTAATATTCACTTAACATAGTGATACACATTTTTGAGATATTTTGTCCCTAAGGGCTTGAAAATTCCATTTAAATGTCTAGTCCAACTAAGTGTCTTGTAGTGTCTGTCACTTCAACACACGACACTACTACTTACTTACAGGGCCAAAAGGCTGAAGAGGAGGTAGAAAAAATGTTGACAAGAAGTAAGATTGTATGGAACAAAGAGTAAAAGTTCAGAGACTGACGAGAAAGATGGTGAAGAGCCAGAATATGCATCTGAATTGTCTTAGAGTATTGTTGTCACAAATCCGGCATTTCCCGAAAATTTTATTTTTTGTTTTCAAGTACCTTTTTCTCAGAAACTAATGCACATAAATCTATGAATTAGTTAGCATTAGTTGTTTTTAATAGAAGAATTCAATTATTCAAAACTTATATATTGAATATATTTAAAAAATAAAAAAAAGTTAAAAAAAGATAAAAATTAGTATGTTGAGCAAAAAATTATTTAACAACGTAAATGATGTTGGATCATTAAGAAAAAAACACCAAAAAACACCGAGTTATATAAGAAGATTGCAATAGAATAGTGAGTAAATTTTCAAAAAGCCCTACAAAATAGTTTAAAGATAGAGAAAGAAAGAGAGAGAGAGAAAGAG